GTTTGTGGTGACCTTGTTGTGGTCCTCCCAGCCCATCTACCCCTCCCTAAGGTCTCCTCTCCTCGCCTGGTCTGTCCCAGCAGTTAAAACCCTCTTTGTTGTGTCTCTCTATTCATAGCTTGCAGTGGTTGGCACGTGCGCCTGCCCCTGACTACTTAATTTGTATCTCGGGCCCCTTACACGTGCCCTGGCACCTTCTGGGTCTGGGAGCTGTTGGGGCTGCCTTCCTCCCCCACATACGCTTCGTGGAGTTGGGATAAGGAGGAGCCTAGGTGCATGCAGGGCCCCTGTCAGGAAAGCCTGGAGTTGGGATAAGGAGGAGCTCTGGTGATGGGGGCCCCGGGTGATGGGGCGTACCTTGTGATCACAAAGAGGAGGGGGGCGTCTGCTTGGAGGGGCCCCTCTGGCTTTGCATGGGCTCAGCACAAAGGGTGGGCTGTTCTCTCTCCTTCCTTCCGAGGGCTCACAGGAGAGTCGGGGTGGGTGAGAGGGAGTGGGAGACTGGACGTCGGGGCCCCCTGCCCCTCTGTGGGGGGGTCCAGCAGAGCTTGTGGCCTTGAAGGATTCTGTGGAAACATGTCCCTGCTGAGGGGGAGACTACTTCCTCATCTCAGTTCTGGATGAAGAACCCAGCCTGCTAGAGAAGGAAAAAATAAGAGTGTCCTCTGCCCTGTCTGGGCAGAAGTGCCATGTCCTGGGGGGAGACTGGGGCTTCCTCTGATGCCGTCATCCTCTGTGCAGCTTCTCCCCAGGCCTGGGCAGAGACAGCCGCACGAGGTCCAAGAGGTGGCTGCCCCTGTCCCCCTTTGCCGGAAACAACAGGCCTGTGAGTGCTCATTAGTGATGGGGGCACCTCTGTATGTCCTCTGCAGGGTGCTGGCAGGCCTGGGGTGCCCATGCCCTTCCTGGCTGTTGCTGAGGTGGTCCAGCATCAAGTAGAGCCGGCCACACCGCCCTCGGCCCAGCATCCATCTGAGGGAGCCGCCAGCAGCTGCTGCAGTCAGCCGGAGGGGAGGTTCTGGAGGAGATTGTGGCTGACCCCTGGGTGGCTCATGGGCAGCAGCAGAGGCTCCCAGGAGTGGCCAGGCCCCGCCTGCCCACCATGCTGCAGTGTAGACGGGCCGAGGAGTTCAGCTTTGGCCCCCGGGCCCTGAAGGATGCCCTGGTCTCCACCAATGCGGCTCTGCAGCAGCTCTACGTCTCTGCCTTCTCCCCTGCTGAGAGGCTCTTCCTGTCTGAGGCCTACAACCCCAAGAGGACCCTCTTCTGCACGCTGCTCATCCACACAGCCTTTGACTGGCTCCTGAGCTACCCCGAGGCACCCGAGGACTTTGAGACCTTCCACGCCTCCCTGCAGCATAGGAAGCAAAGCCTGGCTCGGAAGCACATTTACCTACAGCCAATAGGTATGGTGACAGAGGGGGGCACCCTGGAGCCATCAGGACCCTCCTGGGGGGACCAGGCTTGTAGATAGTAACAGGTGTGTGGGGGGAGTGGGCTTTGTGCAGGGGCCCCAGGCAGGACTGAAATGAGGGAAGACGGCACTGGGCGTGTTCAGGACTCGGGGTGGAGGCAGAGAGGCGCTGGCTTGGCTGAGGCTTCCTCCCACCCCATCTCTGACACTGTTCGGAAAGCCCAGGGCCATGGGTCTGTTCCACACACACATGCTGCCTCGTCCAGGTGTGCACAGTCTTGGCTACATCAGTCAAGACCAGTGCCATCCAGGCACTGTGCTCTGTGCTTTATAAAGATCACTTCCTCTGTGGGGTGCTGAAATTAGAATCAGCCAATTTCTCAGGTGAGGAAACTGAAGCTGGGAGAGGTCACTTGACTTGCCAAAGTCACAGAACTGGTCACAGAGTAGAGGCAGGATTTGAATGCAGGTCTACTTGCCCCTAAGGCCTGGGCTCCTAACCATGATGCTGCACTGGAGGGTGCGGGGCTGGGCAGGGTGGGGGGCTCTGATGCTACCATTGTAGTTGCTGTCCTCCAGAAATCTTCATCTGGCAGAGACCGGGGTACATGGATGGACTGAGAGCTGAGACAACAGGCACCTGCGCTCAGAAGGGAACAGCTCAGCCAGGTGTGGGGCAGGTTGAGGGGCTAGGCCTCTGTGCCTTGCAGCACACCAAGGGCATGGTGGCAGCAGCATGGCAGGAAAGGCAAACAGGACATGCAGCTTTGGAGAGAAGCAAAGGGCCAGCGTTAAGCTTCCATTTGAGACACCAGTGGACCATGCCATCCCCTCAAGCCAGAGGAAGGCTGGGTTCTGGCTGGCCTTTCCCATGTGGGCTTGTCACCAGCCATGGTGGTCCACACCTGTCCCCTTCCCGCCCCTTGGGAGCAGGGTCCTGCAGGTGTTCACGGGTCTTGCTCTCCATCACCCCACAGCCAGTCATCTCTGTGGATTCTGCTCCTGAACAGCTCCAGAGCTGTCCACTTCTCTCCACGTCCCCTGCTAATGCTCAGAGCTGCGCTTCTCAAACTCTGATGACCTTGTCGAAATGCAGGGTCTTGGTTGTGAGGTCAGGATTGCATTTCTAACCAGCTCGTGGGTGAAGCTGAAGCTGTTGGCCTGGGGACCCTGTAACCACTTTCTCCTGGTCTCCTTGACACTGCCCTTGGTCCGTGTCCATCTGTCCTCCTGTTCTTCCTCCAGTGATCGCTTCCTGCCTTGGGAAACCCTTGCTTACCTCGGCAGCCTTGTTCTGTCCCCGTGTCCCACTCTCTGCTCCAGCCAGGCCAGCTTTCTGCAGCCATGAAAACTGCTCGCCCTTGCCACCCCCTGCCAGCTGCCCCAGCCCGGGCAGCTTAAATGCCGCAGGGGATTCGTGGGTCTGCTGGAGGAGGCCCCACCCACACCCTCCTCAAGCTCACCTACGATTGAGATTACTCCTCTTTCATCTGGGCATTGGCCTTTCTTCTATGTACGTCCTTTTTTTCCCTTCTGAAAAAGGTGTGCTTGACATCTCTTTTCTATGTCTGACTCTCTGCTCTGAGTGGGCAGGTTCACATTGGCCTCATTCACCCAGCTGGCCAGTGCCGGCGGGGGGCCCTGGGGAGATGGTTGTAGGTGGGTGGGGGGCACAGCGGTGCTGACAGTGCTGCTCTGCCCCCAGATCTGAGTGAGGGGCCGGTGGGATGCTCCCTGCTGGACTACCTGCGCAGATGCGTGGAGGCCTTCTTCCTGGGCCTGCGGGTCAAGTGCCTGCCCTCAGTGGCGGCCACGTCCATCCACTGCTCCTCGCGCCCTGGTCAGGACTCTGACAGGCTCCAGCTCCACACGGGTAAGTGAGGACAGTGGGGCACAGCTCTGGCCAAGGACAGTCAGGCCTGTACCACGTAGCAAAGGCTCTTTCTGGGGGGAAACAAAAGGGTGGGTGAAAGGAGCCCAGGAGAAGGAAATTTTTTTTTACCCCCCTCTGGTCGGAAACATCTATTTCCCAGCCTCTTGAAAAGGACTAAAACAAGGAGTTCCTTTTCCCACCCTTTTCTGGAGACATGACCATACAGCCCAGTGTCCACTGGAAAGTTCTGGAGCATGCAGAGCAGGTGAATCAAGCCCATTTAACGCCACTCAGCCTCTCTCCAGCCTTTGTCTTTGCAAAGCACTTTGTACGAGTGTCTAGAAGACCCCTACCTCCCAGACCCCTGCCCCATCCCTGTGGGTCACTGGCAGCTGGGGAGAGTGAGGCTGGGTTGAGAGGTGCAGATGAACTGGGCTCTTAGATGGAAAGGAGAGCTAGGCTCAAGTTTAGGAAGGTCCCCAAGAAGGGGCTGGAGCTCTGTCTCTGTTCAGCTGACATTGGATCTGGAATGAATGGATTGGTATCTTTCATCAGTTCTGTAAAATTCTCAGCTATTGTCTCTTTCTTCAAATACTGCCTCTGCCCCATTCTCTTCCTCCTCTCCTAGGACTCCAGTTGGATGTTGACCCTTGAACAACAAGGGCTTGAACTGCATGGGTCCACTTATGTGCAGATTTTTTTTCAACCAATCGTGGATCAAAAATACAGTATTCATGGGATGTGGAACCTGTGTATAGGAATAGCCAACTTTCATATCTGCAGGTTCTGCAGGGCTAAGTGCAGGACTTGAGTATCTGTGGATTTTGGTATATGTGGGGGGTCCTGGAACCAATCTCCCATGGATACCAAGAGACTACTGTATATTTATCCATCTTACTCTCTTCTCTGTATTTTCTATCTACCTTCTTTGACCATTCATGCTTTAGTCTCAGATTATACTCATCTTCCAATTTACTAATTCTCTCTATAGCTATATCTAAGGTGCTTTTAAACCCATATATTGACTTCCTAATTTGTTGTCATATTTTTCAGTTCTATAATTTCTAGTGGATTCTTTTTCAAATTAGCAGTGTCACTTTTTAAAAAGTTCTCAGTTCCCTGCTAATTTTTAAATTCACAATTTATGTCCATGAACATAGTTGCTTTACAGTCTGTTTCTGATGATTTCATTGTTTGAAGTGCCCATGTGGCTATATTTGTTATTTCTGCTAATTCTTTCTCAGTTATCTTGCCTCATTGTGTGCCTTGTTGTTTTTAATTGTTAGTTGGACATCTTATTTGAAAAATTAGTTTAACTTTTAGAAGAATTTGTGGCCTGGGATGATATTTTTTCTCCAGAAGGGATTTTCTTTGCCTTTTGCCAGGACCCAAGGTCTGAGTGTCTGGGACAAAAATGTGAAGATTTTCTGGGCCATTCCAATGACCCAGCATAGTCTGCATAGTCTGCATCCCTCCCAGGGTGTGGCACTTGGAGTAGCAGTCAGAGTAGGGGGCTTGTCATTGAGGTCAACCTGCCTGCTCCTGCATCTCAGAAACAGCCCAGCTTCATCTCTTTGAGCGCTAATCCTCTCCCTGTTTTCTCATTAAGCCTCTGATTTATTTAGTCATGTTTATTGAGGTATAATTTAGAGAGTAAAAATCTTCCTTTTTAGTATACAGTTGAGTCTTGAAAAATGCATATATTATGCAGCCATTGCCATAATCATATATAGAACAGCTCTCCTCCCCTCTCCCCCAGGATTCCTCAATGACCTTTTGTAGGTCAACTCCTTCCCATATTAGGTGTTTTAAGAAGCTGCTCTTTGTGTTTTACTCAGCTTGTTTGGCTATCTTTGAGTGGGAGTGTTGGTCTAAATTCCTAGTGTACCATTACAGGGAGCACACTCATTTTCATAGCTGACAGGGACTCCTGGCTGGGGTGGGGTGCCATCTTCATAGTGGCACCTTTCTTTTCTATGTCCCAGCCTTCAGGTCTGGTCACTCTGAGAACCAGCCTGCTTGCTAGACTTCCCCCAGCCCCAAGGGTCTGGAGTGGGGCTCAGGGGGCAGCATGGCCTGCCTTGGCTCTAAACCCAAACAGAGCCTGGGACTCCTGCCTCCCATAGGGCTCAGCCCCCAGCTTCCCCAGCCCTCTCCTCCTCATATGAGATGCCATTATGAGATGCCATATGAGATGCCATTACACCTGCCGTTGCTTCTCCCTGACTGGTGTCCCTGAGAGATGCAGGGACGTCAAGCGTCCATCTTGCCCACCCCAGAGATGGTGGTGCTTCAGAGATGCCCCAGCACTGAGTCCCATGGTGTCACTCCTGGGCTTTCCCCCAACCCCACACTTCAGAAGATGCATGGGTGCTGGGAAAGGAAGTGGGCTCGGGAAGGTCCAGAAAGCCAGTAGAACCCTGAGGTTATGCTGGCTGAATTCTTGGGGTAAGGTTAACTTGGTTTAGATCACTGTAACAGTTTCCCGGGGCTTTGTAACAAATGCTACAAACTGAGTGGCTACAAACAACAGAAATTTCTTGTCTCATGGTTCTGGAGGCTGGAAGTGTGAGAAGAAGGCGTCCGTGGGACCACACTCTGTCTGAAGTCGCTAGGGGAGGATCTTCCTTGCCTCTTCCAGCTTCCAGTGGCTGCTGGCCATCCTTGGCTTCCCTCAGCTTGCAGCTGCATCACTCCCACGTCTGCCTCTGTCTTCACATGGCCTTTCCCCCTGTGTGTCTCTCCCTGTGTCTCTTCTTATAAGACAACAGTCACTAGATTTAGGGTTCACCCTAATGACCTCATCCTAACTTGATTGCGTCTGCAAAAATCCTGTTTCCAAAAAAGGTCACATTCACACGGAGTAGGGGTTAAAACTTCAACCTATCTTTTGGGGAGACAGTTCAACCTGTGACAGTCATCATCATTATTGTCACTGTCATTTTCACAGCAAAAGCCCCTTGGCCTCTCCTCCAGGAAAAGAGCCACTCATTTCACAAAGTCATGTCATTGGCCTGCACTGTTCAGGACAGTAGCCCCTGGCCATTGAACACATAAAATGTGGTCTGAAGTGAGATATGTAGTAAATGCAAAATATATACTGGATTTGAAAACAGTATGAAAAATAATGTAAAAATCTCATGATTTAAAGATTTTGATTACATATTAAGTTTTGGATATATTAAGTTAAATCAAATATATTATTAAAATCAATGTCACCTGTTTCTTTTTATTTTAAAATTAAGAATTTAAAGTCTGGGGCCGGCCCAGTGGCACACTGCTACAGTGCGCCGCTTGGGAGTGCGGCGGCGCTCCTGCTGAGGGTTCGGATCCCACATACAGACCGGCTGCTCACTGGCTGAGCGAGGTGCGGGCGCAACACCGAGGGTTGTGATCCCATTGCCGGTCCCGGTCCGGTACGGGCGTGACACTGAGGGTTGCGATCCGTTGCCAGTCACGAAAAAAGACAAAAAGGAAAAAAAAAAAAAAGAATTTAAAGTCTCACGGGTGGCCCATGCTGCATTTCTATCGGACGGTGATGTGCTGTATTTTGCTTTTACCAGCAACTGCATCGTCTCTGTCATCTGGATTTTAAACATCCCACTTGAACACCTCCGGTGTCTCCAGCTCAGACTCTCTCGTAACCTGACGCTACAATTCTTTGATCCATGAGGACCCCATTGGTCCTGCCGCCTCCTCACGGTGCCTTGTCTGCTTCTTTTCCTCACCTGTCACCTTCCCAGGCCTTGATTTCATGGCTTGTCATCATGGTCACTACCAACAGATGCTTCTCCCCGTCCCTTCGTGGTCCACACCTGGTTAAATCCGACCCTGTCTACCCACGCAGCTCCACGTGACTGGAGGGGTTTCCTCGTAGAAGTGGGTGACCGTGGCCTCAAGGCCCCTGAGGGCCCCCCATAGTCCCCGGCCCTTCCCGCTTCTCCCCGCTCTTCTCTTCTGATTCATTTTGCTGAGGACAGATGAGCTTCTGTGCTGTCTCCCACCGCGCTCACCACCCGCCCGCACTGCGCTCTTGCTCGGATTCCCTCCTATTTTGCAGTGCCCCCCACGCCCGCTCCTGGTCAACGTCATGCCGCACCTGAAGACCACCCCGTCCCCCTGCCCCCACCAGCTCACAGACCCTCCATTGTCCCGCATTCCGAGTCTGCTCACAAACCCCATCCCAACAACCTTCCCTCCTTCCTGCACCAGACACAGGATGACAACCTTCCCTCCTTCCTGCTATTTCTCCCATTTTTTAAAATCTCTTTGCTCCATACGCCCTTCCAGTTTTCCCCTCTTTCCCCGTTCCTTTTCACAGTAAACTCCTGGAAAATATTTTTCTCTACAGGTTGTCTCTACTTCCTCACCCGCCTTTCCCCTGCAGTCACTTTAAGACCCTCTCCTGGTTCTCCTGGGACCTTCCGGGCCACTCTGCCTCCCTCCCTCCCTCCCTCCCTCCAGGCTCCTCCTTCCCTACAGATGTCGTCCTGCTCCAGCCTCCGTCCCTGGGCTCTTCCAGTCTGTCTGCATTCCCGCTTCTGGGATCTGCCTCAGTTCCCTATTGCCCCCTAACTTGTTTCCACAAACTTGGTGGCTTAGACAATGCACACATCTTACAGTTCTGTGGGTCAGGAATCTCCCTGGGCTAAAGTCAAGATGTTGGCAGGGCTACGTCCTAGGGAACATCCCAGGGGAGAGTCTGTTTCTTACCTTTTCCAGAGGCTGCCCACATTCCTTGGCTGGTGTCCCCTTTCTCCACACTGAGTCAGCAGTGCACCTTCTGATCTCTCACTCTCACCCTGACCCTCCTGCCTCCTCCCAGTCAGGGACCTTGTGATTGCATTGGGCCCACCTGGATAATCCAGAATAATCTCCTCATCTCAAGATCTTTAATCACAACTGCAAAGTCCTTTTGCTGTGTGAGGTCACACATTCCAAGTCCTGGGGACGTGAATGTCTTTGGGGCCATCGATCAGCCTTCCCATGGCTGCGATGGCACCTCCCTAACACCAGTCTCGTTGGCCCAGCTACCTTTTCAGTGTCCCCACTTGGATGTCAGTGCGCATCTCAGACGTACCCTGTCCAGATCAGCTGTCCTGATGATTTAGGAGTCAGAGCCCCTAAGAAGTTTCTTGCCCAAATGAGCCAGGCTGGCCTGACTACAGGCCCAGGGCAGGCCCTCACTCCATGTCCTGCAGTTTGGTTGCCCTGAGCTCTTGGCCTCAGACCAATCGCTAGCTTGCATCTGACTTCAGGAAGGGGCTGGTCCCAGGCAGAAGAAGAGAATGACAGGGTTTGCTGCCCTAAGCCTGGGGCTGGAAGACAGGGGTCCCCAGCCTCCTCCTGACTCTGTCCCTCTTGTCCTCTCCCCTCAGATGGCATCCTGTCCTTCTTGAAGAACAACAAGCCAGGAGACGCATTGTGTGTGCTGGGCCTCACGCTGTCCGACCTGTACCCCCATGAGACCTGGAGCTTCACCTTCAGCAAGTTCCTTCCAGGGCATGGTGAGCCAGGACCCCGGCAGCCTCCTGCATGGGAGGGAAGCCTGGCATAGCCTTCTCAGCCCCCCGGGCCCCTCACGGGCACAGGGCATCGCACCTGGGAACACTGTCAACACTCAGTGCTCTTACTCCAGGTGACCCCACCCAAGGTAATGTGCATATATGGAAACAGCCAGGTAAGCATGTAGGCCCCACATTCTAGCTCCTCTGGGCAAGAGGCCATTCTCCAGGCTTGGCTTCTGCCCCACGGCCTGCCTTCACATGCACGACAGGGCCTCTTACGGCTGGTGTTTCCTCAGGCCATGGCCAGGTTGTGGGTTTGACTGTGGGCTCCCTGAAGCTGAGGCTGCTCCCAGACCCCCTTCTCTCTGCCTCTCTCCAGAAGTGGGCATCTGCAGCTTTGCCCGGTTTTCGGGGGAATTCCTGCAGTCGGGGCCCAGCGCCCCTGATCCAGCCCTGGTAGAGGATGCAGCAGATGGCCCCAAGACCTTCCTGCAGGACAGAGGCCGGACCCTGTGCTTCAGTACCCTGGGGATGGTCCAGTGCTGCAAGGTGGGCATGGAGGCTGGGGGCTGGGGGTGCTGCACAGGTGGCTGGGGAGGACAGGGGACAGGAGGAGGACCAAAGGGCTGGGGAGATCTGAGGATGTGGGGTCAGACAGGAGAACGAGAGTGGACACTGGTCGAGCCCTCTGTGTGTCTGGCCAGTTACACCGTCTGGTCCTCACAGTGAAGAGGACGATCCTCCCACCTTACAGAGTGAGGTTACCGAGGCTCAGAGATGCCAAGTTTTCTACCCAAGGCCACATAGCTGCAAAGTGGCAGGGTCGGGATTTGAATCCGTGTCTCTCTGGCTCCCAAGACCCCACGCTGTGCGGCCTCCCCAGAGCCGATCACACCAGCTCACCTTTCTCCCTGTGGCCCAGAATGGACCTCGGGTGTGGTCATGCCAGAGCCATCAGTTGGTGCCCTGTGCAGCCTGGGGCAGGGGCTAGAGGGGGCGCTTGGACCACTTCCTGGCAATCTGGCTTCACCCAGGGCATCAGACTCCTGGAGGGGCTTCTGAGGCTCTTGGGGCTGCGTCTTCACCCTTCTGGGGCTTTCCAGGTGTCTCAGAATCCGCTGGCTGCAAGGGCGGTGGTGACCTTTCCCCCTCAGGTCACATGCCATGAGCTCTGCCACCTCCTCGGCCTAGGCAACTGCCGCTGGCTCCGCTGCCTCATGCAGGGCACACTCAGCCTGGATGAGGCCCTGCGGCGGCCGCTGGATCTCTGCCCCATCTGCCTGCGCAAGCTGCAGCACGTCCTGGGCTTCAAGCTCATCGAGAGGTACAAGGTGAGTCGCGTGGCTCTGGCTGCTGGTGGACAGGTGCTCCCGAGGCGGGGAGGACAAGCCTGTGAGTACCGCGTGGAGACCACACAGAGGAGGAGGGAAACAAGTTCTTTGCAAATTCCCACACGGAGGGAAAGGGCCTGAATTTGTGTCAAGCTCCTCCTTATGTTGCACTGGGGTGGCAGAGAGATGGGGGCTGGAGGGCTGGGGGGATGGGGAGGGTCAGCTGGCTTTTTTTCTCTGAACAAGAAGAAGAGATGGTATTTGCTGAACACTCAGCAGTGGCTGGAATACTCATGCTGGTACCTGCATGCTGGAACCTGCTCATGAATGGCCTTCCCCAGCCCCCAACCCCCAGCCGCCATCCGGCATCTTCCCCAGCATCCCTTTCTTTCCTCCTTCCCCATGGTTTTCATGAACACAGGGATCGCTGCCGCCCAGAGGAAGTGCAGGCCCCTTAGGAGGAGGAGACGGAACAGACTAAACAAGACAGGCCTTGGAAAGGCAGGCGCTCTTTCCCTAACCCGGCACAGCCCGGGCGTCTGGCAGAGCCTGCATGGGGAGGCTGCCCTCTGCTGTCGGCATGTGGCGTGGCAGGGACCGGGGGCCCCAGGCCAGCCAAGCATGCACAGAGCACAGGGCTCAGCCTTATTCCTATGGGAAGATTTGCAAACTCAAACTTAAGTCTGAGTTCAGAGTTCAAAGGCAAGTGGTGTTTATTTTTCTTTAAACCTGGCTTTGGATGAAAACAAGTTAAAAGTTTTCATTGGAACAAAGGCACAGACCTATCAACCAAATAGCTCTGGCTTACTTTTAAAACCAAAAGTTTTAAGAGAATCTCATTGTGTTTAAGTTTGAACCCTGCAGTTCTGGGAAGCCCCTAGCTCCTTCTCTCTGAGGCTGGGCAGCATGGTGCCCTAGGGATGGGTCTCAGTCCTTGAAGCAAAATAGGGGAGTGTTCTGAGACTGTCACAATCCCCTGGAGGGCTTGTCTCCTAGAGAGCTGGATTCAGCTCGCCTTATTCAGAGTTTCCAATTTGCACCTCTGACGTGGGGTGAGAATGTGCATTTGGACCAGACTCCCAGGTGATGCTAAGCTGCTGGTCTGGGGACCCTGTTTTGAGAACCCCTGAAACAGAGGGTCAGGGCGCTTCCAGATCACAGGGCTGCCTGCCTGCATGGATCTTCTCTGAATGACTCTGGCAGTAAATAGAATATGAAGGGAGCACAGAGGAAACAGCCTTCCTAGTTGGAAGGCCCAGAGGGGCATGTTCCTTAGATGGGAACCCATCATGATGGTTGGCACCCACGGAGGCTAGCTGCCGTTATTGTTGGTGCACGGTGCAAGGGCTTGGCTGGCAGCAGCTGTTATGATCCTCGTGAGGCTGCGTGATGGGAAGTGAGAGGCAGCTCTGGTCTGCAAAAAGGGTTGAGATTTCTCATTTTTTGTCCTTCACTGGGGGTCTTACTCAACTATCTGATGTGGACTTTATAACATTTATACCCCCACACCGACTCCTAACCTGCTCAGCAGTCCCTGCTCTGGATCTGGGTTGGAGGGTGTAGCTCCTTTTTTCTGCCCAGAGCACTCCCTAAAATGGTCAGCCCCCTCCCTTCCTCGTCAGGGAGCACCACTTCAAGTGATTGTGGAGGGGCTCTCAGAGGAAGGCCCTTCAGGGGCAGCCGAGCCCCTCTGAAGGGAGGGCTCTGGGAGACCCAGGAGGGCCCCCAAGCTTCCTGTTGTGCCCCTCAGTGGTCCCTGATCACTAGGACAGCTCCTGGTGGGTGTCGCAGAACTGACTGAGGACTTGGACAGAAAAGGTCTCTGCTATCCATTTTTTTTTTTTTTTTTTAAAGATGACCGGTATGGGGATCTCAACCCTTGGCTTGGTGTTGTCAGCACCACGCTCAGCCAGTGAGCAAACCGGCCATCCCTATATAGGATCCGAACCCGCGGCCTTGGTGTTATCAGCACCGCACTCTCCCGAGTGAGCCACGGGCCGGCCCTTCTGCTATCCATTTATAGTAGTTAGTGAAATGCTCTCTCCAGGAAAAAGTCCTGAGTTGTAGTACTTGTCCATTTCCATAGTGAAAATACTCTCAGCATGGCCAGTCTCCAGTTGCCAACACGACACCACTGTGTACAGGGTTGGGAAGGTGTGTGGCAGCACGCTGGTATAGGGTATGTCACTGTACAGACATGGGGGATGACACAACCTAAGAACAGATGTAACAGTGAAATGTAGCTAAAAATATTTAGGATGTGATGACTTCTGAGTATTTCCTTTGTTTTAAAACATTTACAATTTAATTATAAGCTTTATACAATTTCACTTTCCATAATGGTTGGTTTAACAACCGCTTGAGCTGCTCCTGAGAGGT